CATGCTCAGTGGCAGGTGGGAGCTCCAGGGCACATATCCAGCCCCCTTCAGCTCCACTTCCGCAGGTGTGCTCCAGAGAGCCTACGCCAGGGGGCCTTCTCTTCTGCCTCGGACGTGTGGATGTTCGGGGTGACGCTGTGGGAGATGTTCTCTGGGGGCAAGGAGCCCTGGGCCTGGGTCCCGCCCTACCTCATCCTGCAGCGGCTGGAGAAGGACCAAGCCCGGCTGCCTCGGCCTCCTCTCTGCTCCAGGGCCCTCTACACCCTCGCCTTGCGCTGCTGGGCCCTCCATCCTGCTGATCGGCCCAGCTTCTCCTCCCTGGAGGGGCTGATCCAAGAGGTGGGAACCCTTGCATCCCCCGATCTCTCTTCCCTCCGTTCTTTCTCCCAGGGTTCCGTGCTCAAGACTAACCATACTGACTCCTGGGCTGGGGCTGGGACCCCTGTTTGCTCTGAACAGAGCAGTCCCTACCTGCAGGGCCTAAGAGCCCTGGGGAGCAGCTTGGTGCTACATAGACGAGGGCTGAAGGGCGGAGGGCTGAAGGCCAAGAGAAGGGGGAGCACAGAGCGAGAGCCGTAGGTTGCAGTGGGCGTTTGCGAGGAAAGTTTCAGTGTGGAAGGGGAAGGCCGTGGCGGGCTCGGGCGCTGCCCCATGGGAGGATCTGTAAGGCATGGTAAGCAACCAGAGCTGACCTATGGAGCACTTGATCTGTGTAAGATGCTGTACTGAGTGCCTCACATGTATCCTTATGCATGTTCACTCATTTAATCCTCACAGAAACCCAACAAGATCATTGTTACCTTGATTTTACAGACTGGGCAGTTCAGGCACTGCCAGTTTAGGTGACTTGCCTAGAGGTACATGTACGCGGAGGAGTTGGAATCTGAACCAGTCTCTCTGACTTCAGAGCTATTCCCTAAATGACTATACTATTTCCGGTATTCTTTTGAAAACATTTTTGAAATCATTTTTTATTTTTCAATTACAGTTGACATACAATATTATATTCGTTTCAGGTATACAACCCAGTGATTAGACAATATATAACTTACTAAGTGATCATCCCGATAAATCTTGTACCCATCTGATTCTACACATAATCATTAGAATAGTATTGACTATATTCCCTGCTTTACACTCCCATGACTATTCTGTTGCTATCAATGAGAGATTTATGTGAGAACGGAACATCAGTTGGCTGCCTCCTGCATGCCCCCTACTGGGAATTGAGCCTGAACTCCAAACTCTTGCATGTGCCCTGACTGGGAATCGAACCAGCAACCTTTCGTGCACAGACTGATGCCAACCAACTGAGCCACACCAGCCAGGGCTTTTTCTGTTGTGCTTGTCTCTTTATTTTGTTTTTAGATTCAATTGTTGATAGATATGTATTTAATGCCATTTTACTGTTCATATTTTTAATCTTTTTTTTCCTTTCCTTCTCCTCACCTTCTCCTTCTTCTCCCTTTAACATTTCATCTAATACTGGCTTGTTGGTGATGAACTCCTTTAGTTTTTCCTTGTCTGAGAAGCTCTTTATCTGTCCTTCTATTCTAAATGTAGCTCTGTTGGATAATCTTGGTTATAGATCCTTATTTTTCATTACTTTGAATATTTCTTGCTAATCCCTTCTGGCCTGTAAAGTTTCTGTTAAGAAATCAGCTGACAGTCTTATGGGAGCTCCCTTGTAGGTAACTAATTGCTTTTCTCTCTCTCTTTATTAAAAATATTTTTTTATTGATTTCAGAGAGGAAGGGAGAGGGAGAGAGAGATAGAAACATCAATGATGAGAGAGAATCATTGATCGGCTGCCTCCTGCATGCTCCCGACTGGGCATCAAACCTGCAGCCCAGGCATGTGCCCTGACCAGGAATCGAACCATGACCTCCTGGTTCATAGGTCCATGCTCAACCACTGAGCCACGCTGGCCAGGCCTAACTGCTTTTCTTTTGCTGCTTTTAATATTTTTCTCTTTGTCTTTAACTTTTTGCATTTTATTATTATTTTTGTTAATCCTCACCCTAGAATATTTTTTCCATTGATTTTTAGAGAGAGCGGAAGGGGTGGAGGGAGGTAGAGGGGATGAGAGAGAAACATTGATATGAGAGAGACACATCGATTGATTGCCTCCCGTACATGCCCCAACTGGGGCAGGGGATCAAATAGGAAACCCAGATATGTGTCCTTGACTGGGAATCAAACCCAAGACCCTTTGGTGTGCAGGCTGATGCTCTAACCATTGAGAACACCAGCCAGGACAACCTTTTGCATTTTAATTATGATGTATCTTGGTTTGGGCCTCTTACTGGGGACTCTCTGCACTTCCTGAACTTGTATTCTATTTCCTTCACCACGTTAGGGAAGCTTTTCATCATTATTTTATTTTTAAATTTATTTATTTATTAAGTTCCTTTTAAAGAATAGTTTAGTGATGTTTAGAGAGAGAGGAAGGGAGAAGTGAGAAACATTGATGCAAGAGCAGAATATCCAACAGCTGCCTCCTGCATGCCCCCTATTGGGGATTGAGCCCCCAACCCAGGCATATGCCTTGACCAGGAATCCAATCAGCAACCTCTCCCTGCATAGGACAATGCCCAACTAACTGACACACACCAGCCAGAACAATTATTATTATATTTAATCCTCACCTGAGGATATTTTTCATTGATTTTTATCTTTTCTTTTTTTTTTTTTTTTAGACAGAGATGAAGGGAGAGGAGGGGAGAGAGAAAAATTGATGTGTGAGAGAAACATTGATCAGTTGCCTCCCGTATGTACCCCAACTGAGGATCTTTGTGCCCTGACTAGGAGTGGGACCTGCAACCTTTTGGTGTGTGGGACGATGCTCTAACCACCTGAGCCACCATCATTATTTTTTTAAATAGGTTTTCAATTTCTGGCACCCCCAGGATGCAAATGTTTGTACACTTGAAGTTGTTCCAGAGGTTCCTTGCCCTAGCCTCAATTTTTTGGATTTTCTTTCTTTTTGCTGTTCGGATTGGGAGTTTTTTGCTTCCTTATATTCCAAATCACTGTTTTGATTCTCAGCTTCATCTACTTTACTATTGACTTCCTGTAAATTCTTCTTCATTTCAATTAGGGTATCCTTCATTTCTGACTGATTCTTTTTACAGTTTCCATGCCCTTTTTTTTAAAAAAAAATGTTTTTAATGATTTCAGAGAGGAAAGGAGAGGGAGAGAGAGAAATATAAATGAGAGAGAAACATTGATTGGCTGACTCCTGCAGGGCCCCCGCAACCCAGGAATCGAATTAGCAACCTCCTGGTGCATGGGATAAGGCTCAGTTAACTGAGCCACACTGGCTGGGCCTCATGTTCTTTTTTTTCTTTTTTAAAATATGTTTTTATTGATTTTAGAGAGGAAGGGCGAGGGAGAGAGAGATAGAAACATCAATGATGAGAGAGAATCATTGATCAGCTGCCTCCTGCATGCCCCACAATGGGATCAAGCCCGTAACCCGGGCCTGTGCTCTTGACCAGAATCGAACCTGGGACCCTTCAGTCCGCAGGCTGACACTCTGTCCACTGAGCCAAACCGGCCAGGGCCTCATGTCCTTTTTTAATGCTGTTGAAGTTCTAAGTTCATCTGCTCGTCCCCTAAGTTTGTTGAGCATCCTTATCACCACTGCTTTGAGCTCTGCTTCTAGTAGCTTGCTTATCTCCATTTTGGTTGGTTCTTTTTCTGGAGTTTTATTCTGTTCTTTCCTTTGGGACGTGTTTCTTTTTCTCCTCATTTTGGCAGCCTCCCTGTGTTTGTATCTATGTATTAGGTAGAGCTGCTTTGTCTCCCAGGCTTGGTAGAAGGCCTAATGTAGTATGTGTTCCATAGGGTCAGAGGCACAGGCTCCCCATTCACCTGACCTCAGCACTCCAGGTGTGCCCACCCCTTCCTGTGGGCTGTGTACACCCTCCTGTTGTAGTTGAGCCCTGATTGCTGTTGGAGGGATTTACCCAGGCCAATCGGCTGCAAGGGCTGCCTGCGACCACCATGGAGGGTCTACCATGCAGGGGCCCATCCCACAAAGTAGGACTTACTTCAGCAAGGCTCTGGTGCCTGCTGAGTTCGCTCCTTACGTGTGTTGCTTGTGGGTCTGAAGCTGTTCACTGGGTGCGCTGGCTCTGGAGCCTCCTGCAGGTGCAGGCAAAGATCAACAGCCACCTGTGTTCTGCCCAGGTCACCTGGCATGAGCTACAAAGCAATCTGCACATGACCGCTACTTGTGCTCAGCTTGGAGGTGTCCAGGAGAGGCCAAGCTGCAAGCCAAGGACAGCTGCCACTAGTATGGGGCCTGGGGCCACTTAGAAAGAGGTATGGGGCATGCCGAAGCCAGATGCTGCTTGTTTGAGAGATTTTGGGAATGTCTGAAGCATGAGCCAAGACAGGTCATTCATATGGAAAAGCCATTGGAAACAACTTGGGTGGGCCTGAAAGTTGGTGGGGCAAGGTCTCGGGGAATCACCAGGACTTGGAAAACAGTGATAGCCAGGTTGATGGAAACTTGGATATGGTGCCCTCCTGCCAGCTCTGTGGGGGAAGGGCTCGGAAAAGGAATATGGCCTCTACCTGCACTTCTGTCTGAGAGAAAGCTGCCCCTCCAACTCTTGCCCTGATCCCAGACACTTCCGTTCCTCCCCATATGTCCCTGGTGCCTGTTGAGCTCCTGCCCCAGTGCTGGAACTCAGAGGGAGTGAATCCAAGTAAGTCTGTGCTTGGTACCTTTAAGAGGAACTGCCTGTGACTCCATAAGTCCCCCACCTCACTCGGCCACAATCCCCACTGGTTTTCACAGCCACAGCTATGGAGACTTCCTGGAGTGGGGGACCAGGAGTGGGGCTGGGACCCCTCACTACTCAGGGGAGGACCTCTTCAGCCAAGATATCCCTCCCAAATTTTATCTGCCATACGAGGTGTTAGACCTGCTTATTCTTCATATCCACTCCTCCTACCAGTCTCGATGTGGCTTCTTCTTTATATCCTTAGTTGTAGGATGTCCATTCAGCTAGATTTCAGGCAGTTCTGAATGATGGTTGTTATATAGTTTAGTGTATTTTTTATGTGGTTGTGGAAGGATGTGTGTCACATTTACCTACGCTGCCATCTTGACTGGACGTGTTAAAGGAATTTAGTCTTTACTCTAAGGGTACTTGGAAGCCATGAAAGAATTTTGAGCAGGGAAGGAACAAGACTTCACATATTGTATCACTCTGGCTTGGTGCAGGAAAGGATTAGAGGGATGACACTGAAGATGGGAAGCCCAGGTAGGAGACAATAGCTGTGAAGCAGAAGTGATGTGAAGAGGTCTGGATGAGGGTTGAGACACTGGAGCTGGAAAGAAACAGAAACTTTCCAGAGGTGCTTGGAGGTGGATGTGATGGGCCCGGGTGTGGAGTAAAAGCAGTATGCAGGACGCCGCCCCCGTGATCTCCCTAGCTAGAGTCAGACCCCCCTTCTGTTGCTCCTTAACCCCTGGGCTGTGTCCAGCTTGGCATGAAATCCAGGTCTGCCTCCTCCACTGGACTACAACTGGGGGACAGGGAGGGACAGTCCCATCCTGGGCCCAGAACAGAGGACATACCTGGAATGGGTTGGATTGGTGGATGCATAAACTAAGAGGAGTCTCTTTCTGCCCTGCGCCATGGTACCCTCTCACTCAGGCCACAGCACAGCCACCCTTCCCCCTGTTTCTACAGGCCTGGCCTCCTGAGGGGCGCTGTGTGAGGGATGTCTCAGAGCCAGGTGCCCTGAGGATGGAGTGTGGTGATCCCATCACTATCATCGAGGGCAGGTGAGTGTCTCCTGTTTCCTACGAATCCCCAGGAGGATTCCCTCCCAACATGCCTGACCCTGGTTCCTTTTCTGCTTCCCCCGCAGCTCCTCCAACCCTAACCCTCTGCTTTATTCCCTGAGAGCTCCAGTCCTGGCCTCCTGGCTGGAGCATGCCCACAGAGCCCTTTTGTGCGGGGGAGAAAAAGGCTTTCCTTCCTCCAGGCAGATGCAGCTCCACGGCACACAGCTCGTGAGCTGAACGCATGTGGGGGCCCAGCCTCCACTCCCCCCGTGTTTTCACCCTCTTTCCGCAGCCCCAGCTCCACAACCTGGAAGGGCCAGAATGGTCGCACATTAAAAGTGGGCAGCTTCCCAGCCTCGGCAGTGACGCTGACAGACCTGAAGGGCTTGCCGGCCACCTGTCCAGTCCACAGAGACTCCCCTGCCTGGGCAGAGCAGAGACGGGGAAGCGTGGATGGGTGAGGACCTGAAAGAGTGGGGACAGAGCTGGGCTGGGGAACCGACCAAGTTCAGCAACTGCTCTGCAAGGGAAGCTTGGGGAGGGGCTGGGGTCAAGCTGGGAGCTGGACGTGCCTTCCAGGAGAAGCTTCACTCTGGGTCTTAGACAGGGAGCCCCAGAGATTCTTTGGGGGGAGACTTTGATGTCGGGTGGGGCTGGGGTAGAAAACGAACTGGATCACTCCCCAGCAGGGCCAGAGCCAAGGCAAAGCTTCGGGAGCCACCTCCAGCTCAGGGTCAGAGAAGGAACATGCCCCTGCAGAGGAGAAAGGGTGAGTGTGGGGGAAGGGCAGGGTCCCAGGGTCTCTGGGATCAAGAACAGCCCTCAGTTCTGCCCCCTGCTCTGGATCCATGCCTTTGACATATGACTTCCCCACATATGACTTCTTCCTTCCACCACTTCCTTCTGCCTGTTGACATCCCAGCTGCCCTTTAAATCTGCCTTGGGCACTGCACAGCATCTCCACCTGCAGCGCCTGCACTGTCCATTCTTTGGGGACGTAGCTGCCCAGGCCTGGCAGCTGTCTTATTGTCCCACCTAACACAAGGACCACCTGAGGACAGCACACGCAGACAGAGTGGGACGAAGGCAGGGCCCTGCACCCAGGCTTCCTCTCAAGATGTTTTTTCTCGCTGTGCAGGCATTTCCAAGAGTCTGGAATCTGTTCTGTCCCTGGGCCCCTGCCCCACAGGGGGTGGTTTGAGCCCCCCCGAACTTCGAAAAGCCAGAGATGTCCCCCAGGGACCCCCAGGCCTGCCACCTCGCCCTCCCTTTGCCTCCGGCTCTTCTCAGTCCAACCAGCCCCCCAGGGAGCGGCCTTCCTGGCCCAAAAGAGAACCCCTGCACAATCACCCCTTGGGAGCACCTGGAGCCAGCAAAGCCGCTGTTCTCTCTGGAGGTCTCTTGCCTGACCCCGATTTGCAGAAGAGGGTTATGGAGGTGAGGTGTCCCCGAAGTGGCCTGGGGTCCAGAAAGGGCTGCAGACCGGGGTAAGAGCCTAAGTGAGGCTTTGTCCCCTAAGGTGGAGCTGAGCGTACATGGAGTCACCCACCAGGAGTGCCAGGCGGCACTGAGAGCCACTGGAGGAGATGTGGTTTCTGCCATCCAGAACCTTAAGGTAAAGGCAGACCCTTCTCTTGGGCTCCCACCTCTCCTGCCCTTGCCCTCTGGCACTCAGCTGTCCTCCCTCCTGCTTCCACAGGTAGACCAGCTCTTCCACCTGAGCAGCCGGTCCAGAGCCGACTGCCGGCACATCTTGGAGCATTACCACTGGGACCTCTCAGCGGCCAGTCGCTATGTCCTGGCTCGGCCCTAAGCTCTGCTCCTTTAGACACGGACACCAGATGCACCAAGGAGCTGACCATGTGGGGCGAGCAGAGCAGAACAAGTCCTCAAAGGGTGTGTGTTCTCACCTGAAGAGAGCCTGCCATAGGCAGGTCCAGGAGTCCAGGGTCGGGCACTGACGCGTGTCTCCTCCTACCCTGCCTCTTGGCCTCTGAAGGCTCAAGCTCCCTTGGCTGGGTCACGGGAGGATCTAGTCCGCCCTGCCCACCACATTGCCAACCAGGAGGAGGACTTGGAGGAACAGAGCTGCTACCCACCATCCCCATAGGAAGCTTGTACTTGTACAGAGAATGCCCAAGTGGCCATACTGAACCCTGGGAACAGCCATCCTGAGCTGCCTTCAGCTCCACACCGAGCTCCGGGGGCACAGCCATCTCGGATGACGGGAGCAGCCGTACTGACTTGGGGCACGTGGCCCAAACTGCCTGGGCCGGGGCCGGGGCCATCATGGGTGATGAAAGTTGCTGTCTAGGATGCAAGGACACTTGATCCTGGCAGCATGGATTACGAGACGAGACGAGACGGGCCAGCCCCACCCGGCCCAGCTGCCATATTTCCCTTTGACAGCATGGATTACGAGACGAGACGAGACGAGACGAGCCAGCCCCACCCGGCCCAGCTGCCATATTTCCCTTTGTTTCTCCCCATACCAACTCTTTCTTCTGCCCTCTCCCATGACATAGATCTTCCAATGTCCAAAACATTACAAAGTTTATATGAATATAACATACAAAGATGCAGCCTCCTTTGTAGGAACAGGGAAGGAAGGGGTGGTTGGTTAAGGCACACGGAGCTGCAGCAAGCACCAGCTGTGGGGAGGGCCAAGGGGAAGAGGAGTTGGCACTGGGGCCGCGAGGCCCTAGCAGTTGCTGGGGAAGTAGGGATCTCCTCTGAGTGCCACATTCTGAGGCTGAACTAATTGGACAAGCTGAGGCAGAACAAGGTGGGTGGCATATCAGCCATCTTTGGTGCTGTTTCCCCTTCCCCACCCCAGCTCTGTTGTAAAACCCCAGAGCCCTGGATTCCCAAGGCCCCATCCAGAGCAGAGGCCCTGGAAGGGGGTGAGAGGCAGTGAGTAGGGCAAGTCTGAAAGCCGATATGCCTGTGTGCTGAGGGATGGCCGGAGACAGCGGTGAGAGGTAGCAGGGTAAGGGCTCTCATACATACCCTTCTGTGGGGGCCACAGGTGAAGGAGGCCAGGGGAGTAGGGTAGGGATGGGGCACCATGGCCCCAGCCTCTTAGGCATCCCTGTCTGTCCTCTGCAGTGAACATGGAGGAGAGGGGCTGCCTCTGAGGAGGGGCCAGGCCAGGCCAGGTGACCATCTTGAGTTCTGGCTGAGATGATGGTCCTCACCCTGAGATGCCGTCTAACTGGTGATGGCAGAGGGCCCGGTGCCTCCTCGCTTCTCGAAGAACATGTAGTCCTGAGGGGAGGGTACTGTCAACAGGAGATGCGGCTGGGCCAGCTTGGCTCAGCTGTCACAACCCAGGTCTAGAACTGCAACCCCCCCCCCCCCATAAAGTCTGTTCCTAACGCTTTCCTAGCAGGAGGCCAGGAAGTGCAGGCCTCCAGTGGGAGCAAAGGAGGGACAGCCAACTCACAATGAGGAACGTGGCTCCCAGCAGCACGGCCTTCACTCTCACGTCCAGATCCAGCGGGAACTGCAAGCCAAAGTCGTCTGCATCCGTGAGGGCTTCTTGGACCAGCCCCCCCCACTGCTTGCTGATGCGGCCCACACTGCGGGACTCATCCGGAGTCTTCACCTGTCAGGAGGGAGAGAGGCAAGAAGAAAAGACCCAACTAGGGTGGATGCAACTGCTCTCGCCTGTCTCCAGTCCTACTCCCACAGGCACCTGGATGAACTGTGTGGCTCTACGCTTAGTGAATCCTCCTCACAGCCTTGGGTTTCCATGTGACTTCTGGGGAAACCGAGTCACCATAAGTCACACTGGGAATATACAGCAAAAATCAGGATTCAGACTTAGCTCTGTTTCTCTCGAAGGACCATACGTGTCAATTGAACATCAGTGGTGAGAGACGCGGAAGCATAATAGAGGCCAGTCTCCTTAGTGTATGTATGGCTGGTTGTTAGGTTTGTTTTTATTACCAAAGTCCCTGCCACCCACATGTAGCGCAGTTTGTGCCCTACACCAGTGGTCGGCAAACCACGGCTCTCGAGCCACATGCGGCTCTTTGGCCCCTTGAGTGTGGCTCTTCCACAAAATACCACGTGCGGGCGCGCACCTACAGTGCGATTGAAACTTCGTGGCCCATGCGCAGAAGTCGGTTTTCGGAAAGGAGATAGACGAAACAAGTATACAAGACGAGTGTGGATGGGAGAGTTGGAAGGGGTCGACCTCAGTGAACGTACCTCAATCAGACTGAGGACGTTTTTTAGCAAAGGCCAGCTTAGGAGTACCCTAATTAAGTTAATAACAATGTACCTACCTATATAGTTTAAGTTTAAAAAATGTGGCTCTCAAAAGAAATTTCAATCGTTGTACTGTTGATATTTGGCTCTGTTGACTAATGAGTTTGCCGACCACTGCCCTACACCAAGAAGCTTGACCAAGAGGCAAGGGAGGCTGCTAAAATTCTGGCTGCACCCTGTCAGCCAACCAGGCGCCTAGAAGACTGTGTCTGCCCCAAGGGGTGCCTTTCCTTTGCAAAGTAGGGAGGGCCCTGTCCAGCACTGCAGCCTCAGCTAGAGGGGGTAGCCTCCGAGGACCATGCTTTCCACTGGATCCTCTGAGCCCAGCGGCAATAGGTCCTGCTGGTGTAGATGGTAACTCACAGCGACTCCCTGGTCCTTTTCCTGTGCTCATTCTCCAGTGACTAGAGCTATCATGATTTCCTATGTCCTTCCCATCCCCTTCCCTCACTGGCCTACCCCTCTGGGGCACTTCCTGATGATCAGTCCCACGCTGGGCAGGTTCTCTCCCAGCCAATCGTGTGGTCCCAAGAGTACAGCCCCAAATATGGACCATTCATAATTATGTAAGAGGGAGACTGGCCCTATGAGAACCCCACAGTCTACACATTCCCACCCAGAAGTGAGCAAGTTATGTCGTTCCCAACCAGTTCCTATCACAGAATCTTCCCTCAGCTGCTAAGGTGACTCAATTTTTAAAAGTAACCTTAGGGAGGACACCTCATCAGATGGCTTGGAAAGTCTACTGGATTATAACCTACTGTTTCTTCCTTATCTGCACAGGTAATTATCCCTTACAGAATTCAAGGATCTGGCCCTGGCCAGTGTGGCTCAGTTGGTTGGGCATTGTCCCCTGCACGGAAAGGTTGCTGGTCGGGGCACATGCCCAGGTTGTGGGCTCAGTCCCTGGTAAGAATGTGCAGGAGGCAGTGGATTGATGTTTTGCTCTTACATCAATGTTTCTTTTTCACTCTCTCCCTCCCTCTCTCTAAAATTCAATTATAAAACAAACAAAAAAAATTTCAAGGGTCTGTAAAGTGCCTTTGTCTTCTACAAGCAAAGGTGTTTCCCCAGCCTCACGCTGAAACTGCCACCACTTGGCTTCTCCAGTCTCCAGGTGGTGACAGGAATGCATGGTGAGAAGGGTCTCACCCGAATTCCAGGCTGGAGAGGCCACTGGACTTCGAGATCGGCAAGGCAAGCCACAGGGGGTTCATAAGTTAAATTACTGCTTGCTCCAGGGTCTGAGCTCACAAACTCACGCACAACCGTCACATGGGTCCTTCTCCATTCTAAATCCAGCCTGGCCTTAGACAGTTCCCCTTCTCAATATGGCTGTCGGTAACAATGAGCAGTGGCCCTCAAGATGAAACCCACTTTGTCATGTGTTTATAAGACCAGGGAGCCATCCTGTTTCTACAGGGAGGAACACTGGAAGTGTGGCAGGAGTTACAGTGAGTTTGGATCCATGAGCTCAGTGTCTTGTCTTTAGCGATGGCCATCCTGCCTCGTGGAAGCTGCCATCTTGGTTTATGAAGGTCCCAGGAACCGCCCCTTATTCTTGGTACCTCAAAGTTGGTGTCTGAGCCACAGCCGCAGGTCCAGCAGGGCCCCACCACTCGCAGGATGGTGAGGCGATCGGCGTCTTGGATGGAGAACTTGGGGAGGAAGGGGTGCCAGGTCTGCAGCACGTGGCCAATGGTGGTGCCTGGTGGCGACTGCACTTCCATCTGGAGAGGGAGGTAGACAGGGTTACGGCCGAGCCAGAGGACCCTGGCCCAGGCTCTCACCCCTCCAGCTCTGTCACTGGTCTCCCCTCAAAGACCTCCCATCCCCTTTCCCAGACCTCCAGTCCCACCCGTCCACACCCAGGCCTCATGCTGGTGATGCTCCATCGTTGATCCTCCGCATGGCATGACCTCCTGTCCCCCACCCACCTCTCCGGGACCCATCCCTCCCCGCCCACCTCCTGGAGGCCGCACGGGCAGCAGCTGCAGCCACAGTGGAGGGGGCGGAGCAGGCGCAGCACTTCTCGGTCCCCGGGGTCCA